AAAAAGTGTATAAAGTTTTCGACACATATAAAGGTAATTTGTGTATATATTTATAAGCTTACACACATATTTGGATAAATTTCAACATTTTTACTGGGGTTTTTGATAAAGTTTGAAAAGGGGGTATTTTTAAAAAGAGGTATATGAAAAGGGGTATTTTTGAAATTCTCTCTTAAATAAAACTAACTGACAAAAAATAATGCTTATATAATAGAAACGATTGTAAAAAAGCCGAAAAATAAACTCACAAATTGATAGTTGTTGATTTGTTGTCAAACAAAGAAACCAAATGACTAAAAAAGAAGAAAATAACAAAAAATTAGGTCTAGATTAGTAAGTCTTTAAAGTCTTTAATTTATATATTAGTATATATTTTTTTGGTACATGGATTAATGGGCTTTACAAAAAAAGGCTGAAAAGTAGTTTTTTTGGTGGAAACAGATTTTGTTTTTAATAATATTTAATAATTTTTTAATAATTTTTTTTTTTTTTTTGCTGGTGGCAGCTGCCCTCACCATCTTAGATGTGGGTCCGCCCCTGTACACCTGCATGGTTACAAGAAAACGCAACTTAATTCGTCATAGAGAAAGCTCATTAATGAGTGGCCTAGTAATCAAAAGAAGGATGAAAACAACTTTAAAGTATTACAAAATGTTTTAAGTCAAATAACTAATGAACCGTGCGCATACCAAAATATATAGCCATATAGGCCGATATGTAGTAGCTCAAACTTGTATTCCGATGTCTTTCAACGATCTTTGATCGATTAGTAATTGCGATTCTTTTCTTTGAACTGATAGCTTACAGAAGTCCCTTATCTTTTTGTATGATATTATATAAAATGCTTAATTAAGCATAATCTTAATCTGGATTCTAGAGGGCAACGCCGGTTGTTTAAGTCAAAAGGTGAACTTTGTATGATACACGTTGGCGAATAACGAAGAAAGCGTACGTACATTACTTTTGGTAAGTGTGAACTGAAAATCCCGCAATTATCTGGGGCCAAATAATTAGTACGACCCTCAGAAATAGTAAAAATATTTAATGATTAGAAAAAAAAAGCATAATTTTATCATGTCTACTTAATCCCTTTATTTATTTCGTGGGGTTACGCGGAACTGTGAGTATAAATAACCTAGCTTGAAAAATTTAATTACTGGAGTTTTTTTTCCAACGAATAAATAAATTTATTACGTTCACATTTAAGAATTTACGTAAGATAATGATTTATGTTTTAATTGCAAAAAAATAATATTAAACAAAAGAAATTAATTTTGATATAGGGGAAATGGCCCCCCTTTACTGTCCCTAGCTCTGTTGAGTCCTTTATTTGTGATTATGAATATTTTTTGGTTATTGCCATTGGTTTTGGTTAGGAATTGACGTGGTTCACGCTCGTGGTAGTTGTTCGTATTTTCCATATACACACACGTTGAGATTTTACAATATCAACGCTTTTTATGAAAAAATAAAACTGAGAGTCAATGTGTGATCTAAATCGTTCATCAATTTCCTTTAGACAAAAACCAATAATGTTAATGAAAGTGATGCTATGCTCTTTTACGAAAGCTACAAAAAAACATATTATGGCCTTGGTCCCTTGGTGGTGCTGTGGTGGTGACACTGTTTTAGGATTTCCCCATCTCTGCTCGTTCCCATAACCCCTAATCCACGGTTTCTTTTTTTTTTTTTGGTTTCAAATTCTCATTTATCTGCAAGACCCATGTAAAAGGAACGCCGTGTCTTTTTGACTAACTTAATGTGAACATGTCTTCCTTTTTTTCCTTCTGTTTTTTTTTGCAAATCCCACTTTGTTTGTAAGAAGAACACGATTAAATGAGAATTATTTCACACAAGAAGAAGATGGGATCCAGAGTTTGTAATTAGACAACCAGAAGAACACGAGTTAGCTAGAGAACTGAACCATCTTTTACGTTAGTACTACACGATTCCATATAGGCTCCAAATGATAATTGTTTTTCTTTTATTGCTGGAGCAACACAGTGCGGTTTAAATAATAACAAAAATACATAAATATATATATATACAGATATTTTATTACTGTTAGAACACTATTACAATGCGGTTTTATAGTGTAGTATGGTTAGCATTTAGAACCATAGTCTAGAGTTAATATTGACTAGATTCTATATCAACTTAGTTGTTTTTTTCAGAATATTATATTTCTACAAAACTTATATATAAACTTATATATGGTTTTATATATAAATATAATTTGTAATATGACTGACTTTAGGCTACAAGAGTCAAGACCATGTGTGTTTATATACGTCATATATACATACTCGTAATTAGATGTAGACTTTATTCTTTTATCTTTTTTTCCATCCTAGATTTTTGTTGTGTTGGACCATATTTTTTTTGTCTTCGGTCTACCATATTTTAATTTCATATAAAGTATTTTGTTTGTAAATAAAAGGGAATAAATGTAGTCCCAAAGACAATGTTTATTAATATTATTTTCGTATATAATAAGTATCTACATAATTCATGGGGGGGGTGATAATTGATAAAAATCTCGTGATGGTCCCTGCCATGGTTTCACTTCACTGGGACCTCTTCGGATGGAGTGGTCGGTGGTCACGCACACTGACACACACACACATAGAGCTCTAGTCTCTCTGCTACTGTGCTAAGTATAATAAGCTCTAGAATCCGCGTTTAAGAAAACGCGCATTTCTATTGGCCAAGATATTTCACGTTGTAGATAATGGTCAGAATCATTTTTGCTCAATCGTGTCCCTGTCGTCGTTTAGCTTATTTGTTTCCTTATAATATACAAAAATTGTCTTATCCTTTGATAGCTGTGCACTTCGACATATCTTGTCATTTGTCATTTGTTAGACTTATTTTCTACTACTTCCATTTCCATATATGGTTTCTAAGAAGATATGCAACTTATCTTTGCGAGTGACTCAAGCTGTATATATATGTGTTATAACTTATACGTACACAGTTTGAGCGTTTACATTAATTAGCATCTACAACTACTTTAATGGCTTATATATATATATATTAGCAAATAATTAACGTTTGATCATATATGTACTTTTAGCCATGCATAGTACCTGCTCTCGTCCCTATAGTGACCATAAGTCGATAGGTCCAAACTAACACTTTCCTAGCTAAACATTTAAGAAAACGCGCATTTCTATTGGCCAAGATATTTCACGTTGTAAAATAACAGTTTTTAAAAATCCATAGGGATCAGTAGACTCTCATGTAGACTCTATAGCTCCGCCCCTGCTTATGTACATAATTTTGATCGAAACTTATGAACCGAATCAAGTTTTTTTTTTCAGTCCAAAATTTCCAAATTTTTATATTCACGTTGGATTCGAATAATTTAATTGAAGCAACAATTTGAATCACTATTCAACGCGACGTAATCTATATACATATAGGAGTCTTAAAATGAGATACTATAAATTTGGTAAACATAAAAAATAAATAAAAATTATATTATATGTGAAAATATCCATATCCATGTTTTCTCCTATTTCCACGTGCTTAATTATAATAACAGACGATTGGAACGAAAAAAAAAAAGGAGGGATTCGTTTTGTTTATACCTTTAAATTAATAGTGTGATGCTAAAACTTGAAATTTCTCACATAGGATAAGGGTCATAACATTTACATCGATAACTCGTTTCCTCGTATATTCGTTCAACACACACGTTAAAAAAACACGACAATATGAAAAAGGAGACACGAGCAGAAGCAGGTAGGTCATGGGGTCTATACGCGTAAAGTGGATCATCAAGCGATAGATCACTTAAACTTATTACGTTTCACAATTAATTCATATATCATTAATACATGCATGCCTTAGATTTTTTAGGTTTTTAGTTTTTTTTTTTTCATTTGTCAGTGAAATTCAATGAGATAGTATAAATTCACGTGCGTGGATGGTCCAAATTTAACACTCGACTGTAAACAGTATGTTAAACTAGAAATGAAATATATAACTCAATACTTTTGTTACATAAATGACATAAATATCTATATATATATATATATTCGTTTTTACTTTTGAATTAAAATACACACACTTCTTCCTTTAGCAACACAACCTTTTTTTGTTTGTATGTGATACTATGAATTTATTATTATCTTTAGTAACCTAAAATTGATATATAGATGAGTATTTTACAAAAAATATGTTAATGTCACATAAATATTTAACAGAGTACCATACATGTGTGTGTGTGTGTGTTTTTGTCACTCACATTTCGTAATGTATACACGAAATTAACTACACATCATGTAACCTATATAAAAAGAAAATGGATTGCTGTCAAAGATTATTGAAGAAAAATTGAGTAATTAAACAGAATATACTCTTGAAAAAAATGAATTTCTGTATAAATTACATGTGTTAAAATCGAATAATACAAAATTGGAGAGAGAGAGAGAGAGAGAGAGAGAGAGAGAGAGAGAGAGAGAGAGAGAG